GCCATCTCTTGGTCAGACCCTGTAATTTAATGAAAGGGTGGAGTCAGAGGGGTCACTCCAGAGGCTGGAAGTTGAAGGGATTTTGCTGGGAGTTGCAGGGAAGTGGGGTGCAATTCGGCTGGCATTTTTTTTTTTATTGGCTGCTACTGTAAACGTGTGTATAAACTATTCTTTTCTGGCTGTATTTGTCTCTAAAACGTTTGTATTTAACTAAAATATATGACTAATATGTAACTACTATGTATTTGATTGCAACAAAATTATTTAGTACAAAAAAATAAAAATCTTAAATTCGACATTTTAATTAACTAAACAGAACAACTAGCTGAAGCTGATCCTAACTAACGTGTCAGCTGCTCATCATTCTAACTTTAGCTTCTCTTCTTTCTTTTTCTCTGCAGTACTACATCCTCACCCTCATGTCCATGGCGGCTCAGATCTACAAGCACCCCAGCATTAAGAACTCTGTGAACATAGTGGTGGTGAAGATGCTGGTGGTGGAGGATGAGGAGATTGGACCCAAGATCTCCAGCAATGGAGGCGTGGCTCTAAGAAACTTCTGCTCCTGGCAGCAGATCTTCAACCCACCAAGCCAGAGGCATCCAGAGCACTATGACACGGCCATGCTGTTCACTAGAGAGGTGAGGGACGTGCAAAGCTTCCACTATGTCCGTTCAGTAATCAGCCTAAGATGTTTTAACCTGTAGATCATCACAACATCAGATTAACAGTCTTATCCGCACATTAGCTCACAATCTTCTCTTTTTTTTTTTAACAACCACTCCCAACCACCAGTAGAAAACACTCTCTGCTCATTTTAATGGGCACAACCAAACTGGTTTGTAGATCCGCTGCTACACGGCCGTTTATTAGAGGTACTTACCAAGAACACAAAATAACTACAACTACTGAGAGAAGAGACACTCGGATACAGATAAAAATGATCTTAGTGCAAATGGGAGCAAAACAGGCTGCTTTGCTTCTGTGTTCATAGATTTATTATTCTTTCATTTTTTTTTTCTCACATTAGAGATAAAAATGACTTTAAACTCATATTTAAATGTCATATCATTCTGGTTTAAACATTTATATAAATGTACTCTTTATCAGACAATATTGTCCCAAAATTTAGAACATTTCTATTTAAAAAAATCTGTGTTTTATTTTCTGTTATCTTCTGCAGGACAGTTAGTTCTACATCAGCCTGAACACCTAAATTCGGCCAATCATATATCATCTGTCAATCAAATTTTTTCTGTCATAGCATCTTGATTCATATGTCGCAGGCGCAGCTAATATACGCAACGGTTGAAATCAGAATCCTTTCCTTTCCCATTGAGTTGC